AGATCCTGGTTCCTTCTTGGTAGGTTTCTTGTTTGTGGGGTTTGCATTAGCTATCGCGAGGGACGGAGGGGTCCTGCCTCGAGTTTGCACGTCAAACTCCGGGTTGGTTATTATCTCCTCACGAGCCGTCATTTTCCTATTGGGAGTGCCGAGGTGGATTGGCACTATCGAGCTAACTATCCCTGGACCTGTTTCTAAAATTTCCTTCCGAGGCCGGAGGAGTGTGGTGACCGTCTCTCCTCCCACGGGGTGAAACTTGACCCCTAGGAGGAATCAGTACTTGCGAGGTCCTCTCACCCTGATGGAGGGATCGGTTGACGTTCTGGCTGGTTCCAGGCCAATTCGGGTTTTGGCCTTGACGCAGCTTTGGGTGCCAGAGTGGAATCGGTTGCTGGTTCAGCTGCAGTGGTGGGAACTGTTGCTGGTACAGATAGTACTACTGATACTGTTGGAATTGTTGGACTTGTTGCATCTGGATCTATATTGTCTGGATGCACTGAACGGGGCCATGGAATTGGGAGTGCCCGATTCCAAGAGGGGCCAAACATGGCTCAGAGAAAGTCACGCCCACTGGGGGAAGCGGAATGCTCACTTCTATAGTGCCCTGTGGTACGAACAGTGACAGGACTCCTGACACTGTAAGAGGAATAGTAAACTGGCCAATGCATACCGTAGGGCCTTGGGAGAAGGTTGATTGCTGATCTTGCCCCTGGTAACGTTCATCTCGATACCTTTTTCGGTGTTGCTGGAAGAGTCCATTGGGATAAATAAAACTGCAACTAAAGTTGGGATGACCTTTCGATTGGTTCCCACAGACGACGCCAATTGATGGTGTGCGATCTAGATACTCCTAGCTAGAAGACGATCCGAACTCCAGTTGGGCGGCGAGTTTGACCAATCTATAGAATAGTAGATCAGAGAACCCGGGGTAGCTGATCCGGTGAGGTCGCTCCGATGCTTAAGTCAGTACTTATACTATGAATGCGACCCAAATCTTGAGTGCTTGAATGCTAGTGAGTAAAATAATCACGCATACCTTTGGCCGGAGGTTTCATGTCGTTATATACTAGAGTAGTCGTGGGCCTTATGAAAGAGCTTTGGGATCTCCGAGCTGTGCAGATAAGGTTTGCTCCATTTTTTAAAGAGAGCAATATGTTGATAAGGTTTATCATTTACCTCCGATTCAGGCAGAGCTAGGACGAGTCTCATCGTGATCCCGAGAAATTCGGGGTCTGTTGGAGAGGCCTTTGGAATCGATTATGTAGCGTTTTGGTTCTTTAGCTCTGAACTGGCACTTTGATTCTTAATTCCCGAACTGTATTAGGTGTCATGGTGTCTCTATGTCGAGGTAGTGTTTTAGGCCGAGGTGGCTGGATACTCGAGCTATGTTGCGAAATGGGTTCATTTGGCTAACTTATCATCCCTCGAGCATATAACATCTACGTATCCCCTTCTTACTAAGTCGTGGCAAATCATCCTTCATCATATACCATGCCTAACTAACACAAAAAAGCCTAGAATTACCTTACCCAATTTCAATGGCATGGCTGTTATCTATTAATAATACCAAGCATCACTCAAATATATTGGACAAATTAACAAATTGGAAAGACAAGCATCAATTTGGTTCACCTGCAACTTTTAGGGGGGTTTTAACTTTTAACTTTGTTTCAACTGCTTTCAATAAGCTACGTGGCCTCTAAAGCTCTATGTTACCTATTAATCCCCTGTTCATTTGTTGGTATTTAGCGGGGGGCCGGCAAGTCAGAATTAGTAAATTGACCACAATATTCATGCTCATTTGCCACTATATTGGATGCCATGATAATTTAGGATACGTGTGAGGTGGGTAAATAATTTTTCTTTTTTTGGTAAATAGGTGGGTAGACTACTTAGTGCATTCTCTTCTCACCTCTCTTTTTATATAACTTGTAGCGTATAGAATGCTGGAAACTTGCTTATCTATGCATGTTTTTACGAGAGAGAAACACATGCTGAGCAATCATACTTATCTAGATAAGCAAAAATAAATGGAACTTAAGGTTGTATTTGGAAACGATGCAAATAGAGTGTAAACTCTGGTTCAGGGTAAATTTGTACTTGGTCTGCATGTATTTTGCAATATTACATTTATGCATTGACAAATGACAGATTAATACATATTTTCATTGATAATAAGATATAAAAGTACACAAATAGAAAAGAATTAAATTTGAATTCAAGTGGGCTTGTGATAAAAAAAAGCATATGCTTTATTGGAATTCATATTTGCATCCGTTACGGTTAAAAGTCTGTTTTGGTAAGAAGATAAATTTGTCTGTGCAAAACTAACTCAACTTTACAATTTATATGAACTGTTTTACACTCTACATATTTGCATTCACACTTATTTGCATCGTTTCCAAACACAGCCTAAATAATTAACATGCTCAAATGTGCATTACTTTTGGGCATTTGGTAGAGGATCCCACCCTGATTTACCACCAACATTTATGGGTGCAAATGGGTTATCCCAATTTGAAGAATTTACATTGTGTTTGTTCAGGGCTTTTGAGTGAAGCATATTCAAATATTGACAAATTCTCAACTCTAACCAATCCAAATTGGACGACCCTATCAACATTTTGATTCAAATTACTTCTATTATGATTTATAGTTTGTTCGTTTTAAACATATTTGCCTATCTCTACAATATAAACATCCCAACATAACATGATCTATAATTATACACACCGCAAACATGTTTTGTACTTGTATATTGTCATTGATGGGCATAAAAAAATATATTGTCATTGATGGGTCATATTGTGGAGATGACAATTATGTTTGAGGTGTGGCTATAGACCATGTTGGAAGCAATATGTGATAGTAGATTGGTTTCCCGCTAAATAGGTAACCCACACATTTAAATTATATGGTTATATAGGGGTAGAGCCAAGTATAGTAAAGTATTAAACTTCAGATCTAGTACCCACAAGATCTCTACATAATAACATACAATTATAGGAGATATTCGTTATCTGGGGATGTGATGTCATGTGGGTAGGAAATTCATATTGATAGATCCTTGGCCCCAAACCTTTTGTTAAAACCATTATTTTATATAGTTAGTAAAGTGGAGGCAGGGTCGAAATAAAAGTGGGTCCTCTCCCCACACCACCCCCCTAAAAAGTACTTCAAATTCTTACTAAAATGTTAGATCAGTCTCTAAAAGAAACCAAAATATTATTTTTTGCTTATATTCCTAAAAAGAGCTGTAATAGACCCAAACCTTCTTGCTCCATCTCTATCTAAACCCAACCACCTTTACTCCTTATCTCATTTTCTTGTTTAGCTTTAACGCCCCCTCTCATTTTCTTGTTACTGACCGACTTTAGAGGTGAATTCTCTTCTTGAACTTGTGCGTCTTTTTCTTGTCATCCTCTGTAATTCAACACTCGGTTCTGCAATTCACAACCTTTTCTGTGGCTGGAATCTCCTTCCCCGATCCTTCTCTAGCACGGGGTTTTATTCTAGTTGAAATGATGCAAGCTAGAAAGTGCATGAGTGGTCATTGATGTTTCACATCTAACGATTTCATTAAGCAATAATTGATATGAACAAAGTCTAAGGACCATTTAATAACAGCTGAAGTGACTGAACTGAACTGAATGATACTTGTTGCCTTGTCCTTATATTCAGTCACTTCAGCCATTATCAATCGGCTAATTTGTCGGTATCAGTGTTTCTAGATCGTTGAGGAAATAGCAGTTGAGCAAGCAAAAGGAAAATAAATGGACTGACAAGATATTAAAAAACTTGAAGTAAACTCAAAGAAGTGATTGAATCACAGAAAATAGGGTAAATTTCATATTAGTAGCATGTATCTTGTGTCTAGTGTCACTTTGGCATCCGAATTTTAAAACATGTTAATTCCGTATTTGAACTTTTAAAAATGTCCTTAATTTAGGGGCAGACCAATTTTTGGTTTATTCCTGTTTGGTTCATGGAAGATCTATCGGAGTGTCAAAAAGATACGAGAAGTCCATTTTGGGCTGATTTTGGGAAGTTTTAAGTGAAGCTTTTTACATCTTTCATGTTTTATTCTCGTACGAAAAGACATATATCTGTCAAACTAGTTTCAGGCTGCTTAGATCTTCATGTAAAACTCAATGCAGTCAAAACTACCGGAAGATCTTTTGACATATAAAAGGATGCAAATGTCCTTCATGTGTCATATGATTTTTTTTATCAACCATATAAATGCCTAAATCCAAATGTCCGTTGTTTACCATTGCTTTTTTCAATCTTTGATTGTTGAGGAAGTAGATGAAAAATGCCTTATTTCAAGGATACTTTTAACATTTTCAAAAGTTAAAGTTTTAGGTCACACTTTTTCAAAAGTTTTGAGAGTTCAGGTCTGTCCGGATTGACAAGTTTTGATTCCGGTACAGGGCAATTTACCCCAAATTACAGGGCAATTTACCCCAAAAATAATAATACTCAATAGCGAGGAATTAAAACAATAGATAGAAGATTGGAGTTAATAGCTACAGTGGGTTCCTTTTCAACACACGAAATGTATAGAATTATTATTTGCTAGTTCGATAATGAATGACAATGACAAATGAGCAATCAGAGTTCATAATCTCACCGAATTAGAGAAGATCCCTGTTGTATTCTTAAGAAACACAGCAACACAATTCCATGCAACTTATTACATCAGCTGATGATGATTCAGCAGAACAGTGTGAGCTGAGTCGTTGCTATGTGGGTCCTCTTTCCTGCATATGAAAACCACACGCTGGATCGTAGTGGTTGCATTGCTTAATAAGAATCATTCAAAGAAAATTTAATTAGGTGATGGGTTTCAATCTCAACGACAATTTGGTGAGAGAAGCAGCTCAACTCTTTTCTTTAGCCCGAAGAGACGACCAAATTAAGCAACAGACCAATGGCACCAAGCAAACAGGGTTGCTCTCTCACCTAATGATTTGTTTCAAGGATATACACATTTTCTTTTTGGTCCGTCGGTACCAATCGCAGGTCCAATAGCTCCTGCTCTTTGTAAAATACCTCCAACGGAATCTCTTTCACGTTTCAAATATAAAATAAAATGTTCTGTTTTATGAGGTTGGAAGTCGCCAACTCCTTGTTACAATAGCTTACAAGGAGTTGAGCGACGAGATTATAATTAGTGGGAGCTGCGCTCGACAGTGCACCGCCGGAGAATTTCGATCGGTTCCGGTTTTGGTTCTTGTTTGGTTTTAGAGTGATGGGTTCGTTGGACAGATCGAAGAGGAGAGTTCAGTTATGGAAGAAGGCCGTCTTCCATTTCTTGTTGTGTTTCGTTATGGGTTTCTTCATGGGTTTTGCTCCCATTGGCAAGAATTCCAGCTCCTGGGGTCGCACTGCGTCGAATTTGCAGTCACGGGAGATTAGAGAGTTTTCGCCTCAGCCTGTAGAAACGTTACACCAACTGTCAAAGGTAGCGAATTTAAAAAGTAGTCTAATAGCAGAAACTCCGGTGGCGGTTCCGGCTGGTTCTTCCGGTGATTCAGAGGGAACATCTCTACTGGAAGAAGACGAAGCAGAGTTGATCCCCAGAAAGCAATTGATCCTAATAACCCCCACTCGATCAAACGATCCTACTCAAGGCGTGTTCCTGATGAAAATGGCTAACACATTGAAGCTGGTTCCTCCACCCCTTCTATGGATCGTCGTGGAGGGTCAGTCGGATTCTTCCGAATTCTCGGAAATGTTGAGAAAAACTGGAATCATGTACCGGCATTTGGTGTTCAAGGAGAATTTCACAGACCCAGAAGCCGAGCTGGATCATCAGATGAATGTTGCGCTTAATCACATCGAGCACCACCGGCTCAACGGGATCGTTCACTTCGCGGAAGCTTCAAACGTTTACGATCTTGATTTCTTCGAAGAGATCAGAGGACTCGAGTATGAAACTCCATACTTGTTGTCACCATTATTTTTCTGCAAAATAATTCATGCCACTCCGTTTTAGTTTAGTTCCAATTATTCTTGCCAAACACAGAGTCCGAAACTACAGTCAGTAAGTGTACTCCTACAGCCCTACTCCAACTTGAAGTGGGTTCTAAAGTCTAAACTCTAAACCCAATTGAATATGGGCTTGGATTAAAGCCCACGTTTCTTTGACAGTCTAAATCCATACATTCAATCCATCAACTAAACTTTTCTAGGTTGGTGGATACTGGATAGTGAATATAATATTGGATTAGGTTGGCTGATGCTAGAGTAGGTGAGTTGGTGTAGTTGGAGAGTATTAGCGATTTGAGTAAATATTATATGACTCCTCTTTATAAAGTTAGTGAGGGCATGTGCATGACAAAGCCTCCATAAAGTGAAGAACACCATCAATTAATTAGAAATCTCTACACTTGCATATTGCTGCTTGAATTAATAGCAAGAAATTGAGTGCAGGGTTTTTGGGACGTGGCCAGTGGCTTTGATTTCTGCAAATAGAAACAGGGTGGTGATCGAAGGACCTGTTTGTGACTTCTCCCAAGTTATAGGTTGGCATCTAAGGAGCGAGAACAACCAGATGGACACGACGCCTTCAATTCATATGTCAAGCTTCGCATTTAACAGCTCAATACTCTGGGATCCTGAGAGATGGGGCCGCCCATCTTCCGTTCAAGATAGCTCACAGGTTAGTAGCTTAACATTATATAATACATTTCTGAGTATATAGAACATTAATGGTTCTTGTGTGATGTGTGATTTGATTCAATCTTCACGTCAGTAGTACTCTGGGCCCCTTGAATCAAGTATTAGTTATGCTTTGAATTAATCATGCAAACCTACCCAAGGTTTGGCCAACTAATCAGCCATTAATTCCACTCGGCAATATTAGTGACATGTGCCCTTGCTGATTAGTAATTCACTATTTATGAGATGACCCATATTTTAACACAAGGTTCCAGTCCTATCAAATTCTGTCAATGGTCCACTGTCATCTGACTCAACTCAAAAGAACCGATTATGCCTGTAACATTTAGGTTTGAATATGCATCTTAATTTAATTGAAATTGTATATACCCTTTTGGGTCTAGATCAGAACTGAATGGTTTTTAGTAGTTAAAAAACCATTTACAACCAAACTCTCACTGTCAAGTATTTAATCACAGTACGTGTTGTTTCTTAAATGATAAAATCCGTGTTAAATTTAATAAAATCTTGTGTCAAATGCCCAATGCTCTTTTCTTATTTTGCTTTACTTATTAGTTGATAAAATGTTAATAGATGCAGAACTCGGTCAAGTTTGTTCAACAAGTGGTTAGTGAGGACGAGAGCAAGCTGAAGGGAATCCCGCAAGAAGATTGCTCCAAAATCATGCTTTGGCATCTCTACATACCATCTCGCATGATACCATTTCAACGCTCTCCTTCTCCTGTCGTTCAACCAGGAGGTACTCGTAGATAGCAACTCCAAAGAAAAGAACAAACAGGTGGAATGCATATAATTTTGATGTTTGAGTTTTCCCCAAATCTCGATTTTCTTTATATTTTTTTGATAATATAATTATACGTATATTAATTTGTAGAGTTCAGTATTTTTTATTCTGTAAACATTTATTTTATTAGTCTTATTATTGTTCTATGGAGAAATTCCATGCAATGGACGTATTTGATATTGGAAACGGAAGCTTCTTACTTCTTAGCTTCATGCCTGGTTAAAGCAGCCTAATGATCTAAAATTTCTACTGATCCGAGAAACGGAAGTTTTCCTTTCAAAAAAAAAAAAAAAAGAACTGAAGCCCTCTTATTCACAACTCAACAAGATAATAAGAAACAAGAAACCAAAACGGAGAACAAGGAAAAAACAAAGAAAAAGGAGAAGATGGCAGATACAAGATGCTCCTCAGAAAACGAGGCGCCCATGTCTCTTCCCCACATCTACAGTTCTCTGCATGAGCTCTAATCAAAGCCCATGATCATGTCGGATGCAAAGCTCTTGATATAAGAAGGTACACGCTTGGCCGATGATTCCTTGGGTTTCCGTGTCTTTGGTGGGGATGGCGATTTGTATGGGAGGATGACCGATTCTCTCTGTGCGTTGGTCAGGTTGCGGAACCTCTCTTCGCTCACATCGAATGCCGCGGCTAGCTCACTGCTGCTCATGGTCTGGAGGATAGAGCTCGCCCCCACCAAGAACTGGGGTCTGTTCTTTCGGGCCGATGTGGTGAATCCAAAGAATTCCATGGGTCCCATCTTGGATGCAATCTGGCAGAATGGGAAGTACCTGGGAACCCAGAATACGTCGCCCTCACTCACATCTGCGTTCATCGCCGAGGTCCCGTTCGGGAAAACAACCTCAATCGAACCGGTTCCACTCAACACTACCCCGTACTCTGTCGCCGTCGGATTGACGTGTGGCGCCATCATCGATCCCTAGAAATCGAACGGAAAGATGGAAAATGTCAAAACTTTTTCCATTAGTGATGTTAATTAGGAGTGAGCGCAGAGCTTATTACCGCAGAGAGGTTAACGAGATAGACGCCAATGCCGGAGTTGCTAAGGGGGGTGTAGTCGTCCTCGTCAAGAGCAATACTCCATCCATAGTCGTTCTTGAAATCAGGTTGCCTGTCGTAAAGGTTGTAGGAATCAGGCGATCGGACGGCTTTATTTGGAGTTGCAACCTTCTTCTCCATCCCCAGAACAGACGTCAAGAGCTTCCTCCACGTCCATGTCTCCTCCTCGACCTGCTCTTCTTGGTCGGCGTCATCGTCTTCTCCCATTCTCTTTTGTTGCTCTAGTCTCTCTTGTTGTTTCAGTTTCATGATCGAGGCCCATCTGCTGGTGTCTTGGGTGTCCTGCACGTATATGATCGGCCCTCCTTGTTGTCTGGTCATGAGTTCTTTCAATTCGCTCGAGGAGACCTGGCATAATCATGGCGTCAGTGTTATTGACCATTTATTTTTCGATGGATGAATGTTGATATAATTATATATCGCCGTAAACTTACGTTAAATGCAGTTGCAAGAGTCCTGGGATCAAACCCTGAGAGTACTGATGCGGGATAGGATCCTCCACCAATGAAGAACGACTGCAAAGAGAAACAACCTTGAGAAGTATTTATTTTACAGTTTACAGAATCACAGAGAGAGAGAGAGAGAGAGAGAGACCTGGAAGGGACCACGTCCAATACTCTCTGTTGAGTCAATGCTGCAAATGATCTCGAGATTCTGTCTATCGTGGACATTCACCATGTAGAAAGCTGAACCAGCAGGGATTCTGTAAATATCCCCATGCTTCAGTTCCCTTTCCACCAATTCATCCTTGTAGACCGATCCAATCTTTGCATTGCCTGCATTAAAAATATCAAATTAAGAAGCAGGGAAGATAAAAACAAGAAACATTGGAGATGATTTCTGCCAACAAAAAGTCTTGGGTACCTCTGCGAACGAAGAAGATCAAACCGGAATCAATGTACTGAGGGACGAAAAGAGTCTTTGGTTCCATGGTGATGAAGCCAATGTGCATTGGGTTCTCCACACCCTTTATTCTGAACCCTCTCACAACTCTCATCTCCCCAGCTTCAGTCTTGACAACTTGCTTAGAGTGCTGCAACAAGAATATTTCTCTTCTCTCTTCTCTTCTTTCATCTTCTCCTCCTCCTCCTCCTCCTGTGTGTCCCATAACCGTGGGAACTGAGAACAGCACCAGCAGTAGCAGCAATAACGTTGCTTCGCGTTTCATTATGGCCATAATTCCTTCTCTTTTCCCCTTCCCCTATCCTCCTTGTGGTTTTCTGTCTGTCACTGTGTGGAATGCTCGTTGCAGGGAAAGATGGGAGTTTATGAAGGGGAGGGTGGGGGATCTGTTGAAACACGTGTCAGTCATGCAGCGTTTGCAGTTTTGCTGGCTGTGTTCATCTCGTGCCACCTATGAGATTTTGATAAAGCTTCGATTCTCTCGTATTACGAGGAGACTAGTCTTCAAAACTCTCCTCTTTATGGCGAAGAACCGGGATTGTAGCAGTCGAAATTGTAAGGCTTTTAAGTTCTTCGGTTTTCCATTGCCCACGTTGCAGACTGAAAGGAGAAACAACGCTCCATCGTTGCGTAGTTGTACCACCACATGGCATTGGCAAAAGCAGTGCTATCAACGCGGAGGCCCATCGGTCGTTCAGAACAACACATAGAAGGCAGAGAATTCGAGAAACTTAACTGAACACATGTGAATCCGACGATGAGCATCTGCTGTGGAATCATGGCGTCGAAAAAAAAAATCAGGATGGAAGAACTGTTTTTTTATCGGTCTTCTTGGATTTCTCGGTCAAACCATGAGTCGAACAGTTAGTTCATGGAGAATTTGCCTGATAACGAGGTTATTACTTGGCGATGCGATCATCGGAACCTTGCCGGAAGACGTGCCGCGCGCCAAGAGGTTTGACCGGTTTTCTTGACGCATCAAATGGAGGGAGAGTTGAGTGAATACAAATTGCCAAATTCAGTTAATCAAACAGTTGCTGTTGTATCTGGAAGACTGGTGTAGAGCTACAAATGGATTGCATTTAGTCCGACTCGATTGATTCATTTCAAGCCCGATTCGGACATTCAACCATAATCGGTTTAATATGATCCGTTTATTAATTAGTTTAACTTCGGACTTATATAATATTATTTTAAGGATAGCGTTGAATTTTAAATTCAGATAAATTTATTTTTCAGTAAATTATATGTGACAATCACCTCTGAAATTTTTACTTTGGGTGTGTTTGGTTGCTGTGCAATTTTATTTAAATTATTAATAAAATATAACATGATAGTGCAAATGAAAAGAATGTAAATTCTATGTTAATTTTGTTTTGGTTTTTTTTTTTATATAAAATAAAGTAAATTTTGAAATAAAAATAAGGGAAAATTCTCGATCAATACCCTGTATTTTAGCTCGAGTGATGATTTGGTATTCAAACTTTAAAATGTGATAATCCAGTACTCGAATTTTCAAAATGTGACAATCCAGTACTTAAAATTTCAAAATGTGACAATTCAATAGTTATCGTTAACCAGTCCATTAATCAGTCGTTAAGTGACATCTGAAAAGTCAAAATTGTCCTTTAAATGCCATCTAATTCTCTTTATCAACCATCCAAACCTTGACAAAAAATTGAACAGTCCCAAATCCTAGCCTCTTCTATTCAAAAAAGTTGGTGATTGTTTAGAAGAATCTAGAATTTGGAACTGTTCATTTTATTGTCAATGTTTGGATGGTTGATAAAGAGAATTATATGGCATTCTTAGGGTATTTTTGACTTTTCAATATCACTTAATGGACTGGATTGTCATATTTTAAAAATTTGGGTATTGGATTATCACATTTTAAAGTTTGGATACCAAATTACACTCAAGGCAAAATATAGCATACTGATCGGAAAATTTCCCTAAAAATAAATCATAATTTTCATCTAAATCATTTGCATTATCATAATCGGCATTACAATCAAATATAACCTTTAATTTAGGTCAATTTAAAAAAAATATAAATATAAATATAAATATATACAGTACTGTATTCTACATGCTGGATATGGGGAGGTCCGGTACTGTATTCTACATCCTGGATAGGGGGAGGTCTTGTAGGGGTGCTTACTAAGGCCGAGTGGGCATCCCACAATCGCCCCTGATCACATCATCTTCGTGCCTTGGGAACATCTACGCATGTCAAATACCGAAGATGTTCACAATGCATGGAGGGATGTAGGGCGTTTGTGGTGTGCGTCCGGTTAGGAACCCGTCGAAACTCATGCCTACCGGGGTGTAGGCCGGACCTGGACAGACCTTAATACTGTTGATACCTTATAAAATCTTGGCCCAGACCGGCCCTATTCATGGCCATTTCTATTTCCAATGAGTCCGGATCTCTTGCCCATGAGAATCTTGTTCACTTCTATCTATAATATATTATCCCATGAATTAGGAACAGATTTCCTTGTATAATACTATACAAAGAATGAGATGTTCTCTATGTGTGACTATAATAAATATAGACATAATTTATATGAACAAGAGATCCGGACTCATTTCCAATACCCCCTAACCCTTAAATAGAACAAAATGGCAAAACAGGATTAATCGACCCAGGGACAAGGCATAGACAATGATGATTTTATACGCAACCAAACAAGAGCCTATGCTACTTTTTGATCCATGGTTCCTGACGTTTCATATACAAATATTATTTAAATATGTTCTATACTTTGGTCTCGTATTTGTGTTAATGACAATTTTGCACTTTAATCAAGTGATGTATATGAAATTGCAACCATCCATATAAAAAAGTGCATCATTATTCCACTTACAATAACGGTTGGAATTCTTGTTAGGAACAAATAACCTTAAGTTCTTATCAAAGATATTAGTATGAGAGGTCCAGCTGGCAATTGAACTTGTGTTCAAATGGCTACCACACCATTTATGTGAAGCTAGTTAATTAGGGCTGAACATTCGGTTAAAAATAAATGGAATAAATTGAAATTTTAAAATCAAAACAAAAAGATGAAAAGCAAACTGAAATCGAATTATAAGAAAATCGAAATAATCAAAATCGAAAATTTCAGTTATTTCGATTAAAAACCGAATTTAATTATAATATTATATATTATAACCTATAATATATAATATATGTTATAATATATATTATGAAATTGAATTTCATTATAATACATTATATATAATATATTAATATATAAATATAGAGCATATTATATATTATATGTTATATATTACATATTATATAATGAATTTAGATTAATTTGGTTTTTCCGGTTAACTGAATTTCTAACTCTAAAAACCGAAACCGAAATTCCTAAAAATTGAGCTAACTGAACCGAATTACCTAAAAATCGAAAAAATCGAACCAAAAAACTGAAACCAAAATTTTTTATTTTAATCGAATAATAGTAACCCTAGAGTTAACTTCTTGAGGAGAGATTAGGATTTAGGTGTGGTCATTTCCAACAGCTTGGCCTTAAGAAATTTTTGGGTTTGGGCCTATTTTTTGTGTTCAAGTATTGTCTTACTTGTAATATGTTATTTATATATTTATAAATATTTTATAATATATATGTCCAATATAATAAAATATTATATATTTTTTATTAAATTTAGGTGGTTTTTGGTAGCGTGTATATATCGTGGACAGGATCACAGTGAAATATGGCGTTCTGCTACGCGTGGACGGTCCTTGTCCATAAAATAGCGTGGATAGGGATGAGCTACTACATCTCAATTTATCGTCCATAGTATTTTCTCGTGGATGGTCCACACTATGGTGTGGACAATTTGTGGGAAGGTTTCAATGTAACGCATCCAGTTACTCTCATTTTATTTTATCTTTTAATAATTTTTCAATAAAATAATAATTTTTAATGTTAATTCTAGCACAAGTCCGACGCTTCTCCTTTTTAACTCTTTTTCATTATTTAAATATTAATTTTTTAATATTTTTATTAATAAAACAATATTTAAAATATTATTTTTTATTTTTTTGAAATGCAATTATTGTCTACATATTGATGCCTTTTTTCAATTTATTTATCATGTAAAATGCAAAAATTAGACATTTATGATCGACTGTGTAGATCTTTCATAAAATGTATATGAGATGCATGGAATCAAAAAGTGTGGTGTGGACTGGTCCGATCTATACAATCTATTCACAGTTCATAACAATTGTGAACTATGGTGTAGTGTGAATTAGCATTGCCATAGAGTGTAGTATGGACCACACCATACCGACCAATTTCCCTGCCATAGGGTGTGGTATAAACCACACCACACCCCTTTAATTGGTGACAAGCCCAACTCGGGCTTGGGCTTACATTTCAGATTCAGGTCCAAGCTACAACCCTTATGACCTAGCCCATCATGACCCCTAGACCCTAGGGAACATTGCGGTTAGTTTTCATACTTTTCAAACAGGTGAAGAGGGCCTTGAAACTAATGTAATGCCTCATACTTTTCATTTTCAAACATGCTACACAGGTATGCATACAACTAATCGAAATTAGCCGGTGAGCTTTTAACTAGATTTTCAGTCAATTTTTTTTTTCTTTTTTTTTTATTTCCTTGCTTGACATGGCAATTTGTCTGGTTATTAAAACAAGTCCTTATAACTTTCAGTCTTTCAACATCCGTTGCTTAGTGCAAAGATAAGACATTGTGTGAGAACAAAATTCGGATTTGCTCCTCACAAAATCAATTCTCACACTGACCTCACAGATGTTGCAGCCACACAAGAACATCTCCTAGTTGTATGTTTTTTTAATTCATGGGGAGATGTTTCCGATGCATGGCTGAAAGGACTGTAAAGTGGGTGTGGTGACCAATTTTGTTCCTGAGAAAACACTAATATATGTGAAAAATGCCAAAGGTCAGGTCCATTATCTAATCCTCCAAAGATCCTGCCCTTTTAGCCTTGATTGCTGTCATTTCGCTGAATTGGATAAAAAACAGTGTTCATAAAAGAAATGTTTGAGTAGATTTGTTGATTTCGGAGGTGTTCTGTAGTGTGGATGAGAAATTGGTGGGTGTGGATTGATCCACACCACACCCTGTGGCAAGGACCAATCCACACCACACCATAGTCCACAACTGTTCTGAACTGTGGATAGATTGTGTGGACCAGACTAGTCCACACCCACAGTAGCGCTTTATAGGTGTGGTGTGGACTAATCCACACCACCTTCTTTAATATGATGTATACATGCTATTGAATGCCTCCTTCATTAATATGGTGTGGTCAACTTGGGCAATAAGTCTTCTCACAAGCAATACCATAAAAC